TTCCATTAGTGCCGCATTTGCATACTTTGGGTTTGGCCTCCTTCTTCTTGTCGACCTTCGGAGAGACTCATTTGGCTCTTCAAATTCCTCATACTGACTTGGCCTTGCTTCTTCATTAATCTTATCATGACTTCCTGTTTGCCATGGACCTTTATAAATCTCAGGTGGTTCTTCATTTGATACTTCCACATTTGTGTCACCTTTTTCTTTTTCTCGTTCTTTTAAGATCTCTTCAATTTCTTGTGAATCTGGAAGAACAACTTCTTGAGATGACCACCATGATGATGTTTCATCAAATACCACATTTCTTGATGTGTAGCATTTTCCAGTTGTGGGATCACAACACTTCCATCCTTTCCTTTCATCATCATAACCCACGAATATGCAGCGAATTGCCTTTTTATCAAATTTGCTGCGTAAGTGATCAGGAACAAATACGTAGCATACACTACCAAACACCCTGAAGTGACTTACCGTGGGCTTGAGATTTTGTAATTTCTCGAATGGTGAAACGAATCCAAGCTTTGCTTGCGGCAACCTGTTAATCACATGGGCTGCCGTTTTCATACACTCGGCCCAAAACCGTGGGGGTACATTCTTCGAGTGCAGCATACTTCTTACAGTCTCCGCCAAGTGTCTATTCTTTCTCTCTGCAACCCCGTTTTGTTGAGGCGTACTTGGGCATGAGAATTGTCTTCTTATTTTACACTCTTTTAGAAATTTATTAAATTCTTCAGACGTGTATTCTCCCCCATTATCTGTGCGTAGGCATTTGATATTGTGGCCTACTTCTGCCTCAACCTTTTCTTTGAATACCTTGAACTTGTTTAAAGCTTCTGATTTTTCTTTCATAAAATCAACCCAGACAAATCTTGAAAAATCATCGATGAATGTAATCATGTACCTGAAGCCGCAAACTGAAGGTTGCTTTACCTTCCCGAATACGTCTGAGTGTATTAGCTCCAGCGGCGCTTTGGCTCTGAACTTTGACTCCTCGTATGGAAGCTGATGAGCTTTTCCATATTGACACCCAGCGCAAACCACATCATCGTGGATTTCTAGTTTGGGGAGACCCTTTAGCATTTCCTTCTTCATCATCACCTTTAATTTCTTGTAACTCACATGCCCAAGACGTGCGTGCCACAAGTCTGGTGTCTCATTTTTCCGTGTCTTATCTACATATGCCGTTTGTGCAGACATTACATAGATAGACTCAACTCTTCGTCCCTCCATGATTGGTTCCTCATTTTCTTGTAGATGCCGATATACTTTAACATAGTCTGGGCCGAACACCACATATTTGCCAGATCTTGTGAGCTGTGACACCGATAGTAAATTCTTCTTCATACCTGGCACGTGCATGACATCTTGAAGCTCCACTTGCTCAGCATTGAATCGGGGAGTAATCTTTGTTTGGCCAACATGAGTGATAGGTAGTTTTGAGTTGTTTGCAGTGACTACAACTCGTCGTCCTTCATACTTGTTGATGTTTTCTAATTTGCTCATGTCACCCGTCATGTGATTGGAGCACCCAGAATCTACTATCCAGTCATTTTCATAATTTATGAATCTATCACTCACCGTGACAAGAGCCGTTTCTTCTTCTTCCTCTTCTTCAATGATGCAAGAAGCTGCAAGTTCTTGATCATTGTCCACTGCATAGGCCACTTGAAAATCCCATTCTTCTTCACTATTGCTTTCCTTTAGAGTTGATGTTGCTGCATTTCCTTCAACTCTTTGAAGTCTGCAATCTCTAGCAAAATGACCTTTCTTCCCGCAATTGTAGCACTGGTCGTTGCTCCGTCTGTACTTCTTCTCTTCTTTATTTTTATCATGACGGGCTTGATTAGCTCCCCCTCGATGAGAGCTCCCTTGTGGCCTCTTTCGCCAATCTTCATTATGTGGATTTATATTTGTTGGTCTTGCGCTTCTTCTATCTCGTCCGAAACTCCTTTTATTGCTATATAAGGCGGTATCATCCTCTTTGATTGAGACTTTAGATATTTGTTTATCTAAAGCCTCTTGGTTGGCTAATAGGCTCTCTAACTCCGTTAGAGTTGGCTCTTTTGCCCATCCACGGGTAGCGGTAATAATACCATTAAATTCCGGTCTTAATCCATGGATTATGATTCTTCTTTTTCTTGTATCGGTGATGACATTTTGCGGATCTAATTTTGATATTTCGTCACAAATTGCTTTGACTTTATTAAAATATTGACTCACCGACATATCTTGTTGAGAGACCGAGAGAAGATCATTTTCCAACCGTTGGAGCTTCGCATCATTCGTCCTAGCAAAAAGTGCCGCCAAAGTATCCCATGCCTCTTTTGGAGTTTTTGCATCTTTGATGTGCTGCAACAACTCGTCTTCAATTGTTACGGATAGAACATACATGGCCTTCCCCGCTTTTATCTTCCATTTCCTTAATTCCTCAGCATTTGTGGGTGGCGATGTGTTGTCATTACTAATGATGTCCCACAAATCTTGTCCAAGCAAATAAAATTGCATACGAACACTCCAAGTGTTGTAGTTGGAATTGTTAAGTTTTTCGACGCCACTTACCGAATTAGAGATATCCATAGTGACTTGAATATATGACGATCAATATTCCAAGCAAGTTTGGTCCCAGACCAATCGACTTCACAATCCCAGATTGTGCACTAATAGTACCTCTGCGTCGCTTTAACTCTTCACGGACAATCGCCCCTGATCACCGGCTCTGATACCACTTGTTGAGATTTGGAGGAATAAAAGACAATTTTATTAATATAAAATATTGAGTACAAAGGTGGGGAGTCTCTCTTACTCTCACTCTTGAGGATGCTTCACTCTCTTGGTGGTGATGGAGTTGTGTCCATCCACCTCTATTTATACTAGCTAGCCTAAGGAGGTGAGAGTGTTTCTAGAACCTCCCACATTAATTACATTCTAGATTATTCTCACATCTATTACATTCTAGAGTATTTCTATCTAACTCTTATTCAATACTCTATCTAGAGAATTCTACACTTCCTAGAATTCATAAAGAAGTTTATAAAAGATTCTAGAGAACTTAATAAAGAAGATTCTAGAGAGTCGTTGACTTTTCAACAGGCTTCCTACCAAAAAAAGTTGGCATCTCTTCCATCAAAGAGGAAAAACAGTAACCAGCCAATTAAAGCTGAAATATATGTTAATCCATGACAAACAGAACCGGCCATGGGGCCTAGGCACCTAGGCTATTGCCTAGGGCACCACTCCAACATGGGGCATCAATTTTTTTAAGAAAAACTAGTATTATATACATATACTTCGTATTATTAATAGAATTTGAGCATTTGTAGTACAAAGTTGAAAAGTCAAACTTGGAGGCTCCTAAACAATTAAATCATATACTCCGTACTAGATTCAAAATCTGACAAAGACATGAGCCTGTGCTGCCTATCCGGATGGGCCTATAGGAAATTAGGAAGAAATTAAAAAAAAATGTATAATCAATGTGATAGCTATTAGCCTATTACCCTAGTCCCTATTCGGCTACTCCCAGGTAAAGTAGTACCATTACGAATTACGTGAACCAAGAATAGCTCTTCTGGATTTCAGATTTCTCCAGCGATTGGCGGTTCGTCGATTCTGCAATCAAGGTAATACCCGCCGATTCTTCTATTAACTAAACTCCTTCACTAATCTTTATACCAAGTATTTGAAATCTTGTTACTTTGATTATGATTTCTTCAATTCTAGGTTGCAATTTCGGATTTTTCCAATTTCCATAGAAATTAGGAACTGAAATTTGTAAATGTATTATTCTACAAACAATTTATTAATTATTAGTTAATGATATTTATTGAAGTTATTCACTTATTCGCTTATCAAATTCAGTCTAAAACTTGTTCTTTGCAAATATAATATGTATCTCCATATGTTGATATGTACTAACTTGTGAAAGAATTAATTAGTGCTAAATTATTATTTTGTAGTTTGTACTATGACGGGGAAACGGAAGCAAGAGTCAGGGGCTTCAAAGAGAAAACTTAAAAAAAGAAAAGATGAAGTAATGCGATCTTTTGCGGGTTCAATGGATAGGTATGTAAAAGCAAATCCTTCTTCATCGACCTCAAACAAAAATCCTGAGACAAATGATAAAGATGTCAATGAAAATATTGATGTTCAACTTGAGAACGAAAATGAAAACAAGGAGGAGGGTAGATGTGTTGTAGATGATGAGGAGGTGAATGTTGATGTTCAGAATGATATTGTAGATGTGTTGCCTGTTACTCTTGATATGACCGAGTTATGTGATCCAGGTAACTGGAATGTACCTATTTCTCAAAAAGAAAGAGATTTCATAGTTGAGAGGGGTCCAATAAGAATAGCTGGTCATGATTATCCCATTGATAAAAAACGAAGTTTTGGTGACAAACACTATACTAGGTGCTTGACAAACGGCGAAAAATATGACCGCCCATGGTTAGTGTATTCACTGTCAAAAAATAAAGTCTTTTGTTTTTGTTGTGTCTTGTTTAAGAAAGGCGGAGTATCAAGTCCTTTGACTACCCCAGGTGAAGGGTATAACGATTGGCACAATATACATCATAGACTTGCAGAGCATGAATTAAGCAATGACCATATTCGTAGCATTGAAGCTTGGAGAGAAGCAGAAATAAGACTGAAAAAAAAGACATCCATTGCTGCTTCTCGGGAAAGAGTGATTGATAAAGAGAAGGAGTATTGGAGAGCTGTGTTGAAAAGAATCATGAGCGTTGTTAAAACTCTTGCTACTTGTAATATTGCATTTCGAGGTGATAATGAAAAGATTGGAGATGAGAGAAATGGAAACTTTCTCAAGATTATCAATATGATTGCCGAATTTGATCCAATCATGGAAGAGCACCTTAGGCGTATACGCAAGAAGGAGATTCGGAATCATTATCTTGGTCATAATATTCAAAACGAGATGATACAGTTACTAGCAGGTGAAGTAAAGAAGAAGATCCTTCAAATTGTTAGGGATTCAAAGTATTTCTCCATTATTCTTGATTGCACGCCAGATGTTAGTCATGAGGAGCAAATGACACTTATAATAAGATGTGTCAATGTGTCTACTACTCCCGTAAGAATAGAAGAGTTTTTTATTACATTTGTGAAGGTAGTTGAGACAACGGGAGAGGCTCTATTTGAAGAGCTGAAATGTTTACTTCAGACCCATGAGCTTGATTTCAATAATGTGAGAGGACAAGGTTATGATAATGGTTCAAACATGAAAGGAGACAATAAAGGTGTGCAAGCTAGAGTGCTAAGAGAATATCCTAGAGCATTTTACACACCATGTGGTTGTCATTCTCTTAATCTTTCCCTTTGTGACATGGCATTGAGTTGTCCACAAGCAAAAACTTTTTTTGGTGTGGTACAACGAATTTATAAACTATTTTCAGGTGCATCTCTATCTAATCATTTTTATTTATTTATTTATTTATTTATTTATTTATTTATTTATCTATATTTTTTTTACTTATTATTATTTATTTATTTATTTATCTTTGTACATATAGTTGTTATTATTTCAATATTGATTACTAATGTGACTATTAATAATTTCAGGTTCAACAAAGCGGTGGGAGATTTTCACAACCTTTGTCAAAGATCGTGATGGAAAAGGTCTTACTCTAAAGTCTTGGTCTGATACGCGTTGGGAAAGTCGTATTGCCAGTGTTAGAGCAATCAGATTTCAGGCACCACAAATAAAACAAGCATTGGAGCACTTGACGAAAACTAGCAATGACGCTAGCACTGTGAGTGATGCTAAGTCCTTGTCTGAATATGAAATGAACTTTGATTTTATTGTTAGTATGGTAATTTGGTATGAGGTATTAAACAAGGTGAACAAAATTAGCAAAATACTTCAACAAAGAGATATGGATGTTGGTGTGGCTTTAAATCTCTTGAGAGGATTGATTATATTTTTCAAAGAATATAGAGAAGAAGGGTTTGAGAAAGCCAAAGTTGAAGCTGAAAATATTGCCATCGATTTGCTTGTTGAGCCTCAATTTCGTGACATCCGTATTCGAACCAAAAAGAAGTTTTTTGACGAGAAAGCAGTTGATGAGCCAATGAAGTCTGCAGATGATGTGTTCAGAGGGGCATATTTCTTAGTAGTTGTTGATAATGCTATTTCTTCATTGGGAACTAGATTCCAGCAATTTCAGAAATATGAAGAAACTTTTGGATTCTTGTATAATGTGAGTAAGCTAAAGACAATAAGTGATGAAGATTTGGCTCTTTCTTGTGATACTCTTGGGAATTTTTTGAAGCACGGGGATGATTGTGATATTGACCCAATTGAGCTATTTTCAGAACTTCAATTGTTAAGCAAGTCATTGCCTGAAGATAAAAAGAAAGTCATTGAAATGATGGAGTACATTAGAGAGATGCATATTCCATTTCCGCATGCTTGGGTTGCTTACAGGATTTTGTTAACTATTCCCGTGACAGTTGCATCTGCCGAAAGAAGTTTTTCAAAGTTGAAGTTGATAAAAAACTACCTCCGTTCAACAATGTCACAAGAAAGGTTAAGTGGGCTCGCGACATTATCCATAGAAAAAAGAGTGTTATCTACTCTTGATTGTAGTGATGTACTTACAAATTTTGCACAGCAAAAGGCAAGAAGAATAGGTTATTAGGTAGTACTTTTATAATTTTATTTATTTCTTAGAAAAATTTATATTTCCACATCCTTTATATCAGTTTTAAGTCAAGTGTTCCCTTTTGCATTTACTAAAAATTGTTGTTGTAGTTTTCTAATTACTTCATATTTAATTCCATTATTAATTTTAAGTACTATTTGCTCTCATTGGTCGTTTTTTGTCTGGGGCATCAAAATTCCCAGGGACGGCCCTGATGACAAATCAATGGAAGAAATATATAGGTTAGGTGCTTTCATATGGAATTTTAACAAATAAACTATATGCAATGGAAGTGCATGAGTTAACTTTTGTAGAGAAATTCAAATCAGCAAGCCAGCAAGTATCTAATGGCACATTACATTTACAATTAATAGACCAATTAATTTGTTTTAGTTCGTTTAGAAGCCCTGCTAACAATAGCTTAATTGACTTGTGGCAATGTAAATAAGTTCAAAAGAATGGAAAATCTAAAACTATTCCATCTGAAGAGAATGAAAGGCTCGAGATTTATGGTGTGAAAAGTTGTATCATTGAAAACTCAGTTCAATAGCTCAGTTCAAACAATCCTGTTTCATCCAATATAGAAACCCTTCCTTTCAGGACATTTATTGAGTTCACAAAGTAAGGGAAAACTCAGAAAACCCAGATTTAATTCATTCATCAGAAAAATGAAGGGATGTTTCTGAATACAGGATACTAAATTAAGAAAAAATAGAACTCTAATAGCAAGAAAAAAAGCCACAAAAAAGATAATTTCATGGGAAAATAGCAAAACTAATAGAAAAATATTTTTATTTGTGAGTACCAAATCCCAACTTTTTTCAACATCTCTGAAACATGGTTGATGATTCTAACCAAATTTGACTACGATATTTTTATTTGTGAGCACTCTTCTATTTTCATTATAAAAAATGCTACTAAAAGTCTAAAACGTAGACAAAATTCACAAATTTGAATAGTATGTTATGTTTTAATCAGGGAGAAAGCAATCAATATGTACACTGTTTCAAGATTAAATAAGTCCTATTTTGGGAAGCAAACAATAATGACCAGATTTGTCAACTTTATCTATGTTTTAATCATGTGTAAAGAATCTTCTCTTTCATTATTACTTTGAAACCTCTAGTTAGTGCTGTGATTAAGAGTGGGTAAAAATACCGAATTAGTGTGGTACCAAACGGGACCAGTATGGTACCAGACCGAAAAATATGGTTTGAAACAGATATCAAAATTTCCTTCTCGAAATGGTATGGTTTTGGTTTTGCTATATTTTATACTACCTCCGTCCCATTTTATGTATCTCCTTTGATTTTGACACAATTTTTAATAAAATTATTGAAAAGGTAAAAGTTGTGATTGAAATTTGAGTATACCAAAACGAAATATTGTGGATCACATATTTCTTTCCAAATAGTTATAGAATAATAAATAATAATAATAGTTATAAAAATATAAATATTGATCTTTTTAATATGTAGTACGAAGTATATATTGTCCTAATGTTTTATTTATCTATTTATTCTTGTTTTATTGATAATAGAATTAATTAATATTTACTATTCTAAACTTAAATTGCTTCAATCTTTACTTTATAAGATTTTTTTTTTTTTTTACTCCAGGGGGGTCTGGGGGAGGGGGGTTGGGGGGAGCCTGGAGTAATCAGGGCTGAACCTCACTCCATTGAGTTTCAACCCTTTTGTGTGCCTAGAGGGATTCGAACTCGAGACCTTCCACTAGGCACGGTAACCTCGCAACCAGCTAGGCTGGAGTGCTTGGTTTACTTTATAAGATTAATATAGTAAACAAGTAATAATAGTAATAGTAATATTATCAGTAACAAATACCCCATTTTTATTAAACAAATTAATTTTATTTTTTATTATATTGAATTAATAACGTAGAAACTATTCTCCGGATCTGGTTCTAGTTTTGAACCAATGCACACCGCTATCCCAATTAGTCAAGGAGGGCCATTTAGTCATATTCACAAGTAGTTATTGCCAACAATTGTAGTTACTAGTTAAATAACAACATCAACTACAAAACAAAAACGTTGAATACAGGGTAAGATCTCAAACTAGGTCAATTTTTGGACATTTAAAAACTTACTAAACATGCTCTTACAAGCCTTTTGCTCCCTTTCTCAATGTACTCATCCATGCTTATAATAATACGGTTTAGTTTATGTTAACGGTATAATACTCCGTATTTTTAATTTATACGCAGAATTTTCCACACGAGAACTTGAGAAGTGCTTGAGGCAGCGGTCAAAAGACAAAAGTCTGCCGAAATCAATAGATTATAAGGCTCTCGAAGTTAGAAAATCAGCTGATCTGTTGACGTTCTTCGTTGATCCGTAATCTCTCTGTTTTTGTCCTCTGAAGCGTCGGCCGAATCAAAGGAAAGGGGCTCTCTAGTCGTCTCTACCTTTTCGGTTCCTAAGCATATATGCCGTATTCGTTGGGTTGCTTTATCCCTCTCGGAAACTGAGAGGAAAAAGCTTCGGAGCTTTTCTATTGCATTCTCGTTCTCCGGAGATACACAAGTGAACCTTATTCAGTCAGCCTTATTCCGAGATATTTCATTCTTGGTCGGTTCTCTTTCTACTTGAAATTGAATCTTCCTGAACAGGTGATGTTTCGTTCACAATTCTTGATCCATCAACCAAAGAAATTCTTCAAATTGGGTTTGCTTATGTATTAATTTGTTAATCTAAAACATACCTTCATTTAATCAATGTCATAATTTTTATGAAATTAAATTGGAATAATCTAAATAGATAATGTTCTTGGCAAATGCTCATTGGTGATTAAAGCAGCTTGTAGATGCGTTGTGTTTTTTTTCCCGTTTTAAACCGATGCTAGAAATGCGTTCATAGACTCGACTTTTGGGGTTGTTAGCAGAAATATATCCTATTCAATTTACTCTTTCGTTGTGCAATTAGAATAATATAACATCATTGTGTCATTGGTTGTCAATATTGTACAGAATGGTTTGGCATATCTGTTTTTTCCTATTTTACTGGTATTTCTGCCATTTCAGTAGTATATCACGGAATGTAAATACTGGAGTCTGTTTTTAAATTTTTCAAATTTTTTGCTAATAATGTGGACTTCATGAGTTCATTCCAAGTAACAGGTTTCATATAGTTGAATGGGTTTTTAATCAGGTGTATATTTATCTGCTGTACTGTCATAGACTAGTTTATGTTACTATCCCAGTGTAATCCAGACTCGAGTATTTTATTTATTTTATTTATTTTTTAATGACAAGCCGTGCTTCCTTTCATTACTCAGCACTTCCTGCTGCATTGAGTATTCTCTTTGAACTGAATTTATCCATCTGTCCCTCTACATACAGGTGCTAATTTGGTAGCCATAGTAGACTATGCGTCATAATTGGTTGACTTTCATGGATTTTGATAAAGATCCATCTCAAATGTTTCCCCTAGAACCCTTTGTTCCTTACAGTTTTGGAATGGATTTCCTCTATCATATTAACTCTGTTATTGATAATTCAACCGTGGCCCTTCAAGAAGCTTTATGCTGTTTCTCAACTTTTGCTGGTGCCCTTGTATTACGGGCAGCCAGTTCGTCAAATACAGATAGCAAGGGTAGAATATCACACAGAAGCTCTAAGTCTTTGGTCCAAGGGAAGAAAGTTTCTTCTGGTTGGCGTTTCTCTAAATGTAGCTGTCGAGGAAAGTTCACATTGCCCGTGATTATTAGCAAAATTTCGAAGTTCACTATAATGCATCTATTTAAAGAATCTCCATATCTTCAGCCAATTCCTGTACTCTCATTAGCAGCGGCATTGGTGCCAGCTTTTACCAATGTGTAAGCTTATATGTTATTTAGTTTTACAACTATTAGCATTGGTATAGATGACACATATAGAAACGATGGCCATGTATCTAATGATGCATGAACTGCATGTCAATCAGATCTGGTAATGTACTTGCTGCTCCCCTGGAAGATGCTTCTACTATGGAAGCACAAATGTGTATGGATCAAAGCCCATGTAAAGGTGAACATCATGGATTCGCTAATTCTTTTTTTCAAAGTATAAATTGGTCTAGGCTTGCTGTTGAGCCCAGAACTGGGATTGAATTTCCTATCATCTTGGACGACATAATCACCGGAGATAATAATTCAAGCTTTATGTCCGAGGTACACATATCAACAATGAAATTATTCTTCACAATTGCTTCTTAAAACAATAAGTGCTCTGTACGATCTAACTCATTTAGTGGATAATGTCAATGTTTTATTATAGTGAAGCTCACATACCAATATGATGATATCTTCTAGTTAATAGTTTCAATTTTGTTATCCAGAAAAGTGGTTTCCTCTGAGAAATGTTATTATATTAGTGAAGCATTTGAGTCTTAACTTGGAGTTCATGCCTATATTTCCAGTTTTACACTCAAATAATGAGTATTAGGAGGAACCGAGGAACATATTCAAGAAGGCCTTATATTCTTATTTTCTATCATATAGGCCATCTATACTGAATTTAGTGTTTACTTAGTTTAGTTGATTAACTGACACTAAATTATGTCAATGATCCCAACATAATTGAGGATAAGATTATGATATTGGAACTGAGATTTGTAAATAATATAGTTTATTTTACAAAGATAGACTAAGAAGGATTTACAAGTTAGTTTGAAGAAAAAACTCGTGTTCTAAGTTGTAAATATTAGGAAAAATTGATAGTAATAATCCCAACTATTGACGGTCCGCTTATAATAATCTCAACTATCGATTATTTCAGAATAATCCCAACTTTAGGGACCTTCCGCCAATAATGGTCCCTATAAATAAATTCTTGTAGTTTCTGAAGTGGATGAAGAGAGATATAACAAGTAATCCCTATAAATAATCTCAACTTTTAATTTTTACACTTAATTTCTATTTAAAATTCACTTTTTTAGGAGGTATTATCTGGTCATGGACCATTATTGGCGGACGGTCCATATAGTTGGGATTATACAAAAATAATCAAAAGTTGGGATTATTATCAGCGGACCGGCAATAGTTGGGATTATTATTTTCAATTTTTCCTAAATATTATACACGACTCTGCTTTAGACATGGATACTTTTGGTGATCATTATAACTTATAAGACACCCATTCTGGAGTTCATTGAGTCACGTTTTAGAAATGTTTCTGGTTGAATTTATTGTACATTTCAGGTCCTCGTTGGAACAGGATCCCGTATTATGACTGTTATTAGAATCAAATCTTTGAAGGTTTATGCCTTTGGATTCTGTGAGTTCCCCCTTTTTGTACATAACTTATTAGTTGCTTTAAATACTCTTCCAAATTTAATCCTAAACAGTTAATCTGTGTTTGCATTGTAAATAGATGTACATCCTTTTGATGTCTGCCAGAAGTTGGGTCAGAAATATGCTTCTGTTCCCGCATGCGAACTGAACAACCTGCACGAGTTTTATCAGGATCTTTTGAGGTAGCTACATAATAGTAGAATTTGATTACTCATTTTTTAAAGAAAGAAAACTTTTGTTCTTATTTATTTGTGTATTTATTTTTTATGTTAAAGAATGGCATATCATTTGTATATTATGTCTGTTGTCTTGATGAACAATGTCATTTCCTGTAAAATGTTATGTTTAGTGTATAATGTCAGTGTGCAGAATGTTTCAACTTTGAAACTTATGCTACGAGTGCTTCATGTGCAATTGTGGCTTTCATGCAGGGAGGATATCAACATGACCGTTAGGCTTGTGGTTAGCTGTAATGGGATCAAATTTAAAAATGTCAAGGAGTAAGTCAGGATTATGCATTTATCTTGTTGCAGAAATCGTAAATAATTATTATAAATACTGTGATGAAATGCTCTTATTTTTACGAGTGTAATTTCCTTTTCATGCCAGTGTATTTGAAAAATCACTCCGAGCTCGATTGTTGAAGGTTAGTTGTTTGATATATTTGTTTCTAAATTGTTATTCATGCTTTTGATTTGACAGTTGTGATTTTTCAGACGAATCCCGATACTGATTTTCACTGCATAGAAACATTTGGCTCCATTTTCTCACAAGATATCCCTTTACATGTTGTAAGGACTTGTTCACTATTGCATTACGCCCCCCCTCCCTCATTTCATAGTGTTATATAATTGAATCTTTTATTCGAATGAAATTTTTTTAGGGGACAACAATCAATTTCCGGCGTACAGGTGATGGACATCTAATAACTGAAAGTAAGTGGCTCACTAATGTAATTGATCAAGATTTAAAATTAATTGACTGACATTGTAGGGGAAGCAAAGTTGTATTTTGGCTTATCTTGTGATAACATTACTCTGTCGTTTGTGCAGTTGGTGGCAATCATATTGGAGCAGTTCATAGCAAGGAGTTATGTAGTAAGTGGTTTTGGGTGGAGCCTCTGTAAATTGTACATTAAATTTAAAACAATGAACCCGGACAGATATTTACAGCTGGCCTGGTTTCTCAGGGGCATTTTTTGATATGTACATTGGGGATCTTCCTATTTGCGAGAAAACAAAGGAACAGATTGGACAGAATGTTGCTAGCATTATAAAGGGGTGTTGAGGTTTGGTTCGTTTCCCCTTTTACCACCCACCCTCCTACAGTAGTGAGCACTTTTTTGTTGGGAGCGTTCATGGCGGCCGGTCAAGTTGTATTGGGATGCCAATGCTGAAGGCTTAAGCTATATCCGAATGAGGAGAACAGTAAATAAACTATATAGGTCGATATATTGCTGAAACAATTTTATGGTTACAATCCAAGCCGGAGTTAGCTATAATTTCAATATCCAAATTCTGGACAGCCTAGGTCATGATATGACTTGGAAGCTGTCAAGATGCCCTTTGTGTTGTTGTAAATTGCTGTCTTAGCCGAAGTAGTTATTCTTTTGTGATGTGATATATGTTGTACAGTGATTTTTATGTTTTAGTCATGTGCTGGATTGTGATGTTAGTTGTGTCTGAACAATAATGGAAAAACTGTCAAATAGGTCCATGTACTTTACTGAAAAGTCAATTAAGTCCTCGTAGTTCAAATTGAATCATTCAAGCCCATGAAGTGTTTAAAAATAGTCAAATTAACTATTGAACGGGTATTCGTCCGGTTTCCGGTTAAAAGCCTCTATGGACTATGAATATCTAGCTGACATTTTTTTTAATGTTTTATGTTTTTTTCCCTTCCTCTTCCTTTTCCCTTTTCTCTTTCTTCTCTCCCAGACGGATTTTTCTCCCCACCGTTGCTGGATTTCCTTTTGTTTCTTCCTTTCAATCTCTCAAACACCTCATCTCCGGTGGTCGCGGAATCGCGGATGCAGTAAGTGGCGCCTTTCCTGTTTTCCCCATTAGAACTTGGAAGCTTGAAGTATGTGAGTCTACATGAGGGAGTAGGGGTGGACTCGGGCCGGGCGGCCCGGCCCGGTTACTGTTTGGCCCGGCCCGGCCCGGGGCCCGGTGGGTCCACCGGTTCGGTTCGGCCCGGCCGCTGGGCGGTCCGGGCTTGGGCCCAGTTTTTGGTGAACCGGCCCGGCCGGTTCGGGCCGGTTTTTAATTTTTTTTTTTTGAATTTTTTTTAAGTTTTGGGTTGGATTAGGTATTTTGGGCCATTTGAGGTGGTTTGGGGTGGTTTGGGGTTGAGGGGGAGGGGTTGGGGGTTAAATAGAAAAGCCAAAAAAAACATTAGAACCGGTTAAACTCATTTTAAGAAAAGTGAGTTTAATGGTTGATGTTGAAATGATAAAGTAATAATAATATAAGAATGATTTAGAATCACACAATGCTAGGTGTCTAGGTTCATCTCTCGGTCGCTCTATACATTATTTTATGTATTACGTCATAAAGCAATACTTTATTAGGTTAGTCATGGTTTTGAGGTCACACACTATTAATAGACCAAGGTGTAGACGTGTAGTAGACTAGCTAATAGTATTGGGCAGGGAGAACATAACAAGATCTTCTCATGCCACCAAGCCAAAATATATTAATAAAAGGGAAAATGGAAACTAATAATCCAACTTTTTAGTGGTCTTATTACAATAATCTAACCTTTTGGTTATTCATGAATAATCCAACCTTTGCACTTCATCTTCATTCAATGGTCCCTGACCGGTTGATGACATGCTATTCCAAACTATTTTCTTATCTTTGCAAATCATTATACCATAAATTTCATCTTTCACAAAGATAATATTTTGCAAAGATGAGAAAATAACTTGGAATAGTAGGTCATTAACCGACCAGGGACCAATGAATGAAGATGAGGTGCAAAGGTTGGATTATTCATGAATAATCAAAAGGTGGGATTATTGAAAGAAGACCACTAAAAGGTTGAATTATTAGTTTCCATTTTCCCTTAATAAAAAGAGGGAAGAAAAACAAGCATGAAGATGCATATTGTATTATTAGGGTTGTTCCTAACACGTATCATCACAACATATTCATAAGCAGCTCACAAAATTTTCATTAGCAGCTCAAATTGCACCACAACAAAAGCCTGATTGCTCAAACAGTGAAAGACCTCAAGATTGCAAGAGAATGGTGTTATCAAATCTATTGCCTCCTAATGTGCCATATCCTTCCAGGTCTGAAGAAATCACACCCACGTCTTATTCAACCATCAGATAATTAGGACAGTGGTTTCTATGATTGGGCAGGAGCCAAATTATCTAAAGTAGATCCTGGTTATGTACTTGAAAGTAATTGGGTTGTCTCACAGGTACTTAAAATACAGAGTGAATGTCATTCTGAGTAAATGTAACTATCATGACTTGTTATAATCATTAATATTACTCTGTATTAGAATTCCTTATTATGAAAATATGTGTTGAAATGTTGAACCACCTAACATCACAAATGTTTATCCTTCCCGTGGAGAGGGAAGGAAGAACCATTCCAAGAACGAACCATGTGAAGAATATATGGTGCTGAAGTTGGTGTTGTAGCTGAGATTGCAACCCTCAAAATGATCGGCTTTCACATTTCTATCATATAGTGTGGAACCATTCCGAGCCATTTTTCATAGAGATTAGCGGTTGGGTATAGCAACTCTTCCAGAGAGACAGAAACACAACCCATAGTTTTGACTTGGCTCATAAGTTCAAAAAACAAACTCCCACATTGAAAGAAAGCAACCTGCATTTTGCCACTCAGACAAAATCCCGAGTCTTCTTTTTGGACTGAAGAACCATCGGGCCGTTGTTTACTGAATGAGACGAAGAGACTCCTCCCTGTATGCTCCTCTGGTAAATTTTGCAAACCCAAACACTCCAACATTACCTGCAAGATGTACAAGATAAAAATTACAATTGCATGTTACATTCTACCCACATCAAACACATTAAACATTACACAAAACATAAGATATTACTAGTTTACTACATTAGAGTTTCATCCTAAAATAGTAAAAAATGACTAGTTTAATGTATTTCACAAGTATGTGATTGCTTAAGTAAAAACCCTTACTGGAAGAATTGATAATTACAGCTGCGATTGAATTTCCCCAGGAACAAACCTAATGCCAAAAAATCAATCAGTTCTAACTCTTAGCACAATCCTTGTTCTCTTTTCCCCACCCAAGGTCACGTTCATGGCGCCCAGGAACTTTGATTTGCTGAATAATCTAACCACCGATTCAATTTGCCCTTCCCCACATTCATCCACGGCCACCACACACGCGCCGCCCTCTCGGACCACCCGCTCCATCTCAGCCGCGTATCGGGCAGGGAACAGGGCCCGGTCCAAATACGGACTGAACCCGAAATCGAACGCATCGTCAAAGAATGGTAGGTTGTGAGGATCTGCCCGGCTCACTAGAGGCGGCGAGTCAACAAGCTCGATTCCGGTGACATCGCTCAACCCGAGATCGTTTAACGCCATGACGGCGTGGCCGGGGCCCGCGGAAACAACGAGGGCCCGAGAATGGACGGAGAAGAGGCGCTTGTCTCGGAGGAGCTGGAATAGATCCGTGTAAGAGCGGACAGTTTGGATCCAGGCATTGGTGGACCAGAGGCGGCGGTTGCGTTTATCGACGGAGGTGAGGGCTCGGGGGGTGAAGTCGCATGTGGATTTGGGGAAGCGGTGGTGGGGCTTGAGGTGGCCGCCGGAGATGTGGACGCCGGAGATGTGGACGCAGGTGTTGGGAATACGGAGGAAGAGGAAGAGGAGGATGAGCGTGGCAATGGTGAAGCAGGCGAGGGAAAGCTTGTTTAGGAAAATCTGAATATGCCTATCCATTCTACTGCGATCATCGATCAGAGCAATTGATGGTTTAGGTGCACGCAATACAAGCTTAGATGGGATGTTGAATTCGTCGCCGGGAAATTTCACGCCGATCTACTTCACGACGGCCAATAGAAGAAAATTCTTCTCCTGGATCCTAGGAGTATTAAACTTACCGGTTGAGCCTAAAATGACTCGGGTTGAGCCTATTGTTTTTTTGTTTGAAAGTAGCCTATTGGTATTGTGCACTTTGTACCCAATTAGCACTAATTTGTTTTTTCTTTTCTAGATGTATTTTGAATCATTAACATTTTCTTAAATTGGATTTCCTAACAGAGAGAGATTTTAGATTTTAAGTCGAGTGATGAGAGGTTTGATTTGCTAATCATTGACTAAATTAAGTCAATTACAAGATCATCAAATATTATTGCTTCTATACAAGTGAGATATTATCACTTTGTTTACTTCTTTTTCTTTGATTGTATTATCAATCATGTGATGAATGTTATTTTGATTTAATATATGTGTGTGTGTGTGTAGGATTTGACAATAAAAATGAATTTCACTAACTTTTCACTTTCTCAATTTATCTATTTATCTACCATTTCACCATCTACTTTTGTCGATCCATTGGATCAGATTACTAGTTTTACTACGCGCGATGCGCAAGGAAAAAATGCCCAATGTTATTTAAATAAGGTTAAGATAATGACATGTTAATACATAATTTTATAATTAAGTTGTTTGTAATTGCAATAAAGCTTTATACATAACTTTTTCATAATAAGAATTGTTATAAAAAAAACATCTCAGATGTTTCTTTGCCAAAAAACGGGGCAATTAATGATGGTAAATATAATATTAACAGTGTGTAGATGGTGAAATTTATAGCGAGTGTAGAGCATTGTGTCATTCTGAAACTTGAGTCTAATAGCCCCAAATATGTATTCTTCATAATTAAGATGCTAGTCCAATAACGGGTTATGTTTTAGGATATCACAAATATTAATGCTAATGAAATGGGTTAATGTTCAGCTCCAACAAACATACGAAATAAAATACTACAACTGATAGATATTATTTGGGATTGACTGGATGGTGGTGGTGAAGAAAAGACTCAGACTCAAACTAATGCATTTAATTTACTGTGTAGATTAGAATTGTAAATATTCCCAATTTCATCAAAGAAACAATATTTAAAATTGAATATTTGAAAGAGTGGTTCTCCATTGTTGAGACTACGGTTGTCAATAATTTGTTACTAACTCAAATTATTGACTTTAATAACTGATTCAACGAATCACGTTTGACAATTGGAAGTATGTTCCCAAAGGATCCAAACATTACTAAAACCGAGGCTTGAGGGTAATAGGCTAATATAATTAGGAATCTACCTAATAGATATTTAGGAATCTGCCTAATATCTATTTAAGAATACTTTGTATTTTGGCAACTCTTCTATTATAAATATATCTGTCAGGACTCCTATTGGAGTACCTCTTTCCCATTATTTTCACATGGTATCAAGAGCTCTAGGTTTGTAGATACAATTTTTTTTTCTTTTTTTCGGTTCCCATGAACCTTATTATAGCCGCCGCCGCCTCGGGGTCGACTGCCGCCACATTTACGGTAGTCTCCGATCCTTTGAAGATGAGCGCGGCTAATATGGCGCAGATCACCTCCTTCGCGTCGCTGAACACGGTGCTTGCTTCCAGCATGCCGTTGAGTTCGCCGCCTGCTGCTGCCTATGTCCGCGCAGCCCACCTTCTCTGCGTCGCTGACCACAGTGCTTGCTTCAAGCGCGCTGTTGAGTTCGCCGCTGGCTGCTGCAGACATATATTCTCATGGAGATCTTATTGTCAAAGATGTGTCTTCTAATATTCCGCTCATGGATATATTTACTACGAGTTTTTTTTTTTAGTTTGCAATTTCATTTTTTTAAAAGACAACCTGCGCGTTGTATCTCCCGCACAGTTTGAGGGGGTGTAATAGGCTAATATAATTAGGAATCTACCTAATAGATATTTAGGAATCTGCCTAATATCTATTTAAGAATACTTTGTATTTTGGCAACTCTTCTATTATAAATATATCTGTCAGGACTCCTATTGGAGTACCTCTTTCCCATTATTTTCACAGAGGGGTCTTGTGTGATGGTTAAATGACGTTGTGATATTTTCAGGGGCGGGCCTTAGTAGAGGTTTAGGGGATCAAGAAGCTGTTCCGTTCGTCTTAATCTTATTAATTATTCCTAAATCTTATTTTATTCAGATTAGATCAGATCAGAAAAATTCAGATCAGATCAGATCAGATCAGAAACATTCAGATCAGATCAGAAACATTCAGATCAGATCAGAAAGATTCGGATCAGATCAGATCAGGAACATTAAGATCAGATCAGGAACATTCAGATCAGATCAGAAACATTCAGATCAGATCAGATCAAAAAATTCAAACATGATTTATCACTTTTACTATTATATTAATTATAATTATTATATTATAGTTATTGTTAATAATATTAATATGTTAATATAATAATATTAATAATAATATAATAATAATAATTTAATAATAATGTTAATAATATAAATATTATTATATTATAATAATAATAATATAATGTAATGTAATGTAATGTAATGTAATGTAATGTAATGTAATGTAATGTAATGTAATGTAATGTAATGTAATGTAATGTAATGTAATGTAATATAATATAATCTAATATAATCTAATATAATATAATATAATATAATATAATATAATATAATATAATATAATATAATATAATATAATATAATATAATATAATATAATATAATATAATATAATATAATATAATATAATATAATATAATATAATATAATGTAATGTAATGTAATGTAATGTAATGTAATGTAATGTAATGTAATGTAATGTAATGTAATGTAATGTAATGTAATGTAATGTAATGTAATGTAATGTAATGTAATGTAATGTAATGTAATGTAATGTAATGTAATGTAATATAATGTAATATAATATAATATAATATAATATAATATAATATAATATAATATAATATAATATAATATAATATAATATAATATAATATAATATAATATAATATAATATAATATAATATAATATAATATAATATAATATAATATAATATAATATAATATAATATAATATAATATAATATAATATAATATAATATAATATAATATAATATAATATAATATAATATAATATAATATAATATAATATAATATAATATAATATAATATAATATAATATAATATAATATAATATAATATAATATAATATAATATAATATAATATAATATAATATAATATAATATAATATAATATAATATAATATAATATAATATAATATAATATAATATAATATAATATAATATAATATAATATAATATAATATAATATAATATAATATAATATAATATAATATAATATAATATAATATAACTATTATAATAATAATATAATATAATTTATTATTATTATATTATCATAATAATCATAATAATGAAAATAATAATATAAAAATGGTAATAATAATATTAATATTATGATTTAATAATAATGTTATTATATTATTATTATTATTATTATTATTATATTATTACTATATTATTATAATATTATTTCTGTTATAATTAACAATAATGTAATTCATTATTATGATATTATTATTGTTATAATATAATTATAATTATGATTATGATTATGATTATAATTATAATTATAATTATAATCATCATTGTTATTAATATTATTGTTGTTCTTATTGTTATTGTTGTAATTATTATTACTTCGGAGTAATTATATATTTAAGTTAGTAATTATAGATATAAATATAATTATAGAAATAAATATTATAATTATAATTACAATAATAATAATTATATAATTAATTATAATTAAAAATAAAATTACATTTATAATTGTATCTATATTTATAATTAGTGTAATTGGTATAATTATTATAATTTTAAAATCTAATTTAATTATTATTTTTTTTATAATTATTATTATTATTATAATTTTATTTAAGTTATATTTTTAATTACAATTATAAATCTAGTAATTATAATTATAATTACAATTATAGAAATATTCAAATCAGATCAGAAACATTCAAATCAGATCAGAAACATTCAGATCAGATCAGATCAGAAAGATTTAGATCAGATCAGATCAGATCAGAAAGATTCAGATCAGATCAGATCAGATCAGAAAAATTCAGATCAGATCAGAACTTAAAAAATTCAGATGTGAAACATTCAGATCAGGTGAACGGAATTGCTTCCAAGCCCACTCCCCCCACACAAAAAAAAAAAGAATTAGTATTATATACTCTTTCCGTTCCATAAAATAGTTCTCATATTATTAACTTGAATCGGAGTTTAAGAAGGTGGGAATAGAGTAGAAATGTATTATTGTAGTTGAGTAAGAAAAATGTAAATAAATTTGAGCCACACAAAACTTCCCAAAAAGGAAAATGAGAACTATTTTTTGGGACGACCCAAAAAGGAAATCAGGAACTATTTTGCGGGACGAAGAGAGTATATGAGAAAAATAAAATTGCTCTCACCCCCACCCCCACCCCAACCCCCAAAAAAATTGACCACCCCAAAATATAAATAATTATAATGTTTGCTTTCCTAAATGTGAATTAAATATTTATTGAGGGTAAATAATTATACTCCTTGTGAAATAAAATGAGGCAATTCTCATAAGCTTAAGTTTTTGTCTCAAAAGCTTCGATTGACGAAATTATCTCTTTAAAGGAGTTACGGACAGAATTTTAAGGTATTAACTTGACCCTTTTGTGACAATAATATATTTGTCTCTTTTCTAGATTTTTTGTCTGCTGTATATATACTATTATAATACTTCATTTTATATATTACGGAGTAGTATGTAAAAAATTATTATAATGAACCTTTACAATGATTTTGTTTAAACTACACTGGTGAGGAATAAAACCAAAAAGTTTATAGGAATTGCTCAAAATATGATTTAAACATAGGAAAAATTATAAAATAGGAATACAAGTGTTTTTTTACCTAAACATAGGATTTATGTAATCCTATTATTAAAAGAATAAAACAAGATTAAAAGTGTTTTCTTCTATTTAGGTAATTTTCTCAAATTTTATCTGTAATTGCATATTTAATTTGCACACACCACACATAATATAATTGATCTTCTTTATATACATATTGGTACATTTATAAGGTAAGCCAAGTGTAATCAAACCATATTAATAAGGTGACTGCTATTGGTGGAATATGTTACTAAATTCCGGTGTAAGTTGACCACTATCAAAACATATTTTGGATTCGCCACTGAGTCTCCCCCCAACCCATAGATGAATTAAGATATTTTCTTTTGGAGTGAAATTTGTTGGTTTGGTCTGGTCTGTTCTAATCTGGTCTGGTCTGGTCTGGTAAACGTCAGGTCTCTGTGTATTTTATAACTACGAAAGTCTGGTCTGGTATGGTCTGATCTGGGACTGAAAACAGTCCAAAAGAAAACATTCGTAGTCCGACCATGGATATTTTACACTGTTAACTGGGTCTATTCGAAAATAATTGGATGATGATAAAATTATAAATGACTTACATCATAATTAATTGTACACTATTAATTCCAAATATATAACCAAAATAAAAGTAATGGCAAAAAATGTAACCCTGATAATTTTAGTAACTATAATCTATAATTGTATTCAAATGTTACATTCTATCATAGTGCGTATAAAACTTTCACATAATAACTTGTAGTCACGTTTTTGTCAATAGATATTTATTTCTAATATTTTAGAAAACATCTCCTTTTTATTTGAACTCCAAAATGTATGAATAGTTTATTTTTTCATTGAGGGTTGAATTGGTCACTCCTTGTCTTGGAAAAGATTTTTTATGGTCCAAATTAACTCATCAAAAAACTTATTCTAAATTTTAGCACTTTTAAAATGTTACAAGAGTATGTAGCAAAGCTGACGGATCGAGTATGTAGCAATACTCCACGTCAACAAAGTTAACGGAGGGGGCAAGTGTCTAAACGGCCAAGTGTCTACATATTATTAAAGATGTACAACTCTTACATCTAAGAGTATACCATCATATTTAACAACAAATTACACCAACACTTTTTTTGATACTTGTTATGCCCTTACCTCTATTCATGTTTATAAGATTTAGGATTAGGATTTAGGATAGGATGTTATGCCCTTACCTCTATTCATGTTTATAAGATAAGATTTAGGATTTAATTAGAGTAATATTCTCCATTAATGAAATCAAGTTGGTGCCGAGATGATCGTTGTGTGTGGTTGATCCCCGCTCGATTCATTCTGTGCTTTGTTTAGTTTGCCCTTCACAAGTTACGTGGATGACGATGAAGAGCTTATACACAAAGGATAGAGGTATCCCAAAATGGGTACCCCATTAGTACCTCACTCTTTGAGCGGCTCACAAAAGTCCTACTCCACAAAATAATTGTCCTACTTAAATTCATTGCTTTTGTGAACTTCAAAACTAGGGAGAGGTACAAAATGGGGTAGAAAATACGGGTAGCTTTAGAATTTTTCTACACAAAGACTACGTTGTATATTGCCCCGCTCTACAATCCCATGTTTTATGTTAGGCTTAATAACTCCAATGTTTAAAATAAATTAGTATTGGCAATAAATGATGTTAATGGTAGCACAATTGAGTATTAGATGCATATGGTTGAATATTCTGATCTACGTGTATTATATACATCCTAAATCAACTTATAAACCGAATATTCAGTTATCATAAAAATAATTATTGTGCTAGATTTATAATTTAGTATCAATATTCATTTCTTTTAAAATAAATATGCCATTGTATGGTGAGTACATAAGTCATAAACATTAATTTTGAACTTAACATTTAAAGAAATTGTCTTATATGTTAGAGAGTGCATGGAACTAAAGTCTAGAACATAATCAAAATATCACAACATGTTTACATTTTGTTTTCATTTTAGAATTGATATGTTACACTTAAACTTTATCATAATTCAAAAGGTGGAATCACCCACATCAGACGCCCCACACCCTAAACCAAGAAAATAGCATAGAACTCAATCATAATAGCATCTCAACCCGTTTTTGAATGAGGTGATTCAAGGTCTTATTCTTATGCACACAAGAAGCATAAATTTTATCACATTTATATACTCTGTAATGTCTAATTGACATTTTTATTACTCACATCTGACATATTTTATACAAATCATGATGACATTTTTTATTTGTATTTTTCATCCGGACAAAAACTTAGTCATAGTCAGAACAATTATTATATTTCTACCACAAAAATTAGTATCCAAGCTTTGTCTATGACGAAACGGGTGAAATTGGTGTCTACTCCGGTTAGGGAATCAAAAAATGAAAGACCTAAATTAGAAAATCCCACAAAATTATAAAATATCGTCAGAACTCAAAAAATGTTAGAATTGTGATGTCCCATGGGCTTGGATATGAGAAAGATAACCATTGAAGAATCTTCATATCTTGGCCACAACTGAGCGGTAGTGGTGGACTCAGACCGGGCGGCCCGACCCGGAACCGGCCCGGCCCGATTACTGTTTAACTCGGCCCGGCACGGGGCCCGGTGGGCCCATCGGTTCGGTTTGACCGGACCCGGGTGATGGGCGGTCCGGGCTCGGGCCCTGCATTTGGTATACCGGCCTGACCGGTTCGGGCCTGGACCGGATTTTAATTTTTTTTTTACAATTTCTTTAAGTTTTGGGTTGGATTAGGTATTTTGGGCCATTTGAGGTGGTTTGGAGTTGAGGGGGAGAGGTAGGGGGTTAAATAGGAGTGCAAACGAGCCGAGCCCGATTTTCTACAGGCTCGAGCTCGAGCTCGAAATATATAGCATCGGCTCGAGCTCGGGCTCGGCTCGAACGAGCCTACAAAATCGCGGCTCAAACTCGACTCACAGAAGGCTCGGTTCGACTCGGCTCGGCTCGAGGCTCGGTTCGGCTCGATAACCATTCTGATGCTCCATAATGAGTCCGTAGTAAAAATTCACTGTCATCGGCCCATTCTAAGTTTTTCTACTGAGTAGTAACGGCCTAAGCCTAAAATATTATAAATTTTTACTAATCGGTATAAATTATATATATCATATATATTATATATAATAATATATATTATATATTAATTTATATTGCATAGTAATATTATATACTACCTCCATTCTCTTTTAATTGCAACATTGGACTTTTTGTACTATTCATATATTCTACTTTGACTATATTTTATTTATTAATGTAATATAAATTAAATTTTTAAAAACTGTTGTTAAATTTTTCTCATTCTAAATTTTCAAAATATGAATTTTTTAAATTTTTTACCTATAAAGAATGAAAGATATTAATGGTCAAACCTGTGTGTTGGCAAACGTGAAATGTTAACTGTTGCAATTAAAAAGGAATTGTTGCAATTATAGATATTCACATATAAAATTAGGCTCACGAGCCGGCGAGGCTGAAATTAGAAGGCTCGAGCACGGGCTCGGCTGCTTAACAAGTCGGCTCGAGCTCGAATTTGACCGATCTCGATTCGAGCTTTGACCGAGCGGCTCGTGAGCGCCTCACGAGCGACTCGGCTTATTTGCACCCCTAGGGTTAAATAAGAGAAGAAGAAAAAAATTGAATTGCGGGTGGCCCAGCCCAAAACCGGGAGCCACCGGTCCGGGCTCGGGCCATGGTTTTGGTGAACCGGGGCCCGGCCGGTTCAAGGCCCGGCCTGGCCCAAGGCCAGCCATACTGAGCAGGGCACATCCATTCCTATGTTCAAGTGTTTGATTAAATATACCAACACCGCTTGGGATTATGGGTGGACTCAGATCGGGTCGGTTCCGGTTGAGGCCTGGACCCGGCCGAGCTTTTGTTTGGGAAGTAGGGAACCAGAACCAACCCGGGTCCAAACAATTCTGGGCCAGGCCAATTCTGGTTTGGGCCTAAATTTTTTTATTTTCTTTTGATTTTCTAAATAACCCCCAACTCCCCCTCCCCCCTCCCCCCACCCACCCTCAAAACACCCAGCCCAACCCGGTAGAAACAAAAAAAAAAATGGAAAAAAAACATAGGCCCGACGCGAGCACGGACCAGGCGGGCTGGTTCGCGTTTTATGGGGCCCAGGCCCGAACCAGGATATGAGCGGTTCCAGGTGGCCCAAGGCCCCAAACCGGACCCAAGACCAGGTACTAGGCCGGGCCGGGCCGGGCCCAAACACTATCTCTTGGTTCAAAGTTGCTTATGATGTACAAGTTAACCACGAAACATTGGTCTTCTTGGTTCAAGTCTGGAAGTTTACTAACATGATTCATATAGAAACATAAACTCAAGGGATACATGACTTCAAGTGCTTAAATGATAAGACATACAACAATAATAATGATGATAATTATACAATAATAATAATAATAATAATAATAATAATAATTATTATTATTATTATATAATTATGATTATTGCTATAAGTATAACAATAATTATAATTATAGCCGTTAACACCGTTTGCAATCCACTTCTTACGGTCCTGGCCCCTTCTGGACATTCAACGCGGCAATGTTTGGGCTTACCTGTACATATGCATCAAAGATTACAAAACAATCAGCTAGTCAATCATGTCTTCTAGACAGCACCTATTCGTGAAACAAGAAACAATACCTAGCTAACTTGAAGCAATCATACTCGGTAAAGTCCAGGTCCACAGGAGCAATTTCTGTGATCGAAAAATTGCAAGCATAACAAATCTTTGATATTTCAAATTTAATCGAAGTGCGGGGTAAGAGGAAGCTATTATACAATATTTTATAATAATTTTAATATAATTATAGTTATTGCTATAATTATCACAATTATTATTATTATTATAGCCGTTAATACCATTTGCAATCCAGTTCTTAGGGTCATGGCCTCTTCTAGTCATTCAACGTGCCTCTTCTAGCCAATCATGTCTTATTTTAGCAGCAGCTATTCTTTTTTTTTTTTTTTTGAATAGCAGCAGCTATTCAATAATATAGAAATTTGTCTGATGTCCCAACACATCAAACAGATCAGTATTCGTGAAACAAGAAACAATACCTAGCTAACTTGAAGCACTCATATTCTGGAATCTCCACATGCACAGAAGCAATTTCTGTGTGATCAAAAAATTGCAAGCATAAGAAAACTATGATATCTCAAAATTAATTCAAGTGCAGGGCAAGAGGAAGCTATTAATAAGATATTTAGTTACACCAGAATCATGAACAAAACATAGCACTCATCAATATATATCTAATGCCGAACTCACAATAACAACCCCAGAGGGTCTTATAATGAGGTTTTAAGAACATAATGTTATGTAATTAAAAAATCATTGTAGAGTAGTCATTATTGCAGAGAATAAAAAAAAGACTGCAATTCCTTAGAAATGAATAGAAGCACTCATGTACAAAGGAATCAATGCAAAAAAAAAAGTCACATACCTTCGTCTGTGGGCCTTTCCCTGAATAAAGAAACCTCAACCTCATCATTAAATTTCCACACCTTAGTTTGGTAAAGTTTCGTATCTGGATTATTAGATGACAAATCTCTGGCTTCAAATGTTATCCAAAACAAGTAACCAGCACAATTCCAGAAATTAGTTTTCACTTGCCGAACAAACTCCAGATTGGTTCCCTGGAATTATTTATGGTCAAACTGTGAAGATAAGATGAACATAAACATAAATGTTCAATGGAAAACTATTCATGTCATTGATAGTAAATAAAGCACTGACATTCTCTTCATTGTGCTCTTCAATGGCTTGACGTATCAGGCTCTGGACTAACTCCTCATTGGTCATGTCATCGTAGAGAGGTCCCGCCCAAGCCAGATTATGACTATTGAACAAGTAGTCAAATTGATCCCAGTCTATTTCAAAACCCTAAGCACACAATGCAAAAGGCGGTTCAGACCATGATTAGTACTCCGTACTAGCTGGAGAAGGTTCACGTATTGTGAAATATATATATAGGAGTATTCATTCTTCAATCTATTCTGCACAGCCCTAACTGAATTGCTTGGCGATTTGAACAGCTAGGGTTGAAATCAAATCGAAAGATTTAGGAATAAGAATTGAGGACAGAACCGGTGACAGCTAAAATTTGGTGATTTGGATGATGAGAAAAGGTGATCTCGTGAAACGTGACAAAACCTAGCTCTTTTCCTCTTCCTTTCTTCTTTCTCGGTTAATCCTAGTTCCTACTGGATATTACTTGTGTTTTAAATAATCCATGGGAGCAAGATGAAGGTCGAAGGCATAAAAACATTGTACAAAGTGCAGTATAACCATTATCTAGTGCCAATTTACCTTTTTATGACATCGACACTGTTTTTGTTATTCACATATAACACTAATATTAAGAGGCAGAAGTTTGTAGCATATGATATGCATATAATTTTTTATTAACGGGCTCTACCCGCTTCCTGACCTTCAACCTTGTAATCACAAAAATTCTGGATGCGTAATCATCGATATGTTTACCTCGCTCCGGACGAATTGGTCTTCAAAAAGAAGGGACTGTCGTTGAAATTCCTCATCTTTCAGGTAGGCTCTGCGGAATCTTCTTCCTGCGATGTAAAATACATCTGCTACTTTGTTCGAGACACAGTCAGATCCTACGTCTGTTTCAGTCTTCGGTTTCTCCTCGGGCGGAGGATAGAACGGTGTAGAAACTCCCAACTCCAACGAACCTCCGTCTATTGCAGCCATCGTACAGATTACTAGGGGAATTTTTATCGAAAAGGGCCCAAACACGTCGAGTATTATGAAAGTGTCATGCCTTCTATTACATTACTAGCTTTCAAGCCCGTGCGATGCACGGGTAGTACATAATTTAGCTAACTGTATATTTGATATTTTCGAAATCATATACTACCTCTGTTCTCTTTTAAATGCAACGTTGGACTTTTTGCACTATTCACATGTTCTACTTTGACTACGTTTTATTTATTAATGTAATAATATATATTTTTGAAAAAAATATTGTTAAATTTTTCTCATTATAAATTTTCAAAATCTATTTTTTAAACTTTTTTTACTAATCGGGAATTATAGATATTAATGGTCAAAGTTGTGCCTCGGCAAATGTGAAATATTGACTGTTGCATTTATTTAAGAACGGAGGAAGTATAATTAATAAAAGTAATTCAAATATATGTGAAAAATATTTAAATTGGACTTCTACATAAGCATCTCAACAAAACATAATGGTTATGAACCCGGTTTTAAAGAATTCATACAAAAGTTTCTTCATTAATTTCACATCCTCTATATTACTTCATTAAGCATCTAAAAAACTATTTTCAAATATTTCTCATTCAACATGTGGTATGAAATAAGTATTTGTAAATTTATTAGTGAGCTCTTACATTGTACTCATTATTTTGTCACATTGAAATGTAAAAAAGGGATCATTTTTACAATTTACTCATTTATTTCGTCACATTGAAAATGTCATTAATAAGAATATTTTTAATTAGATTGATATGTTCATTTCTAACTTAGTCTGGAAGATGTCTATTTTATGTATAATAATAGTAATAATAATAATAATAATAATAAGAATACTAATAATAATAATAATAATAATAATAATAATAATAATAAGAATAAGAATACTAATACTAATAATAATAATAATAATAATAATAATAATAGATATTTATTTGATCTGATCTTGTCTAAGACTGGAACCAGTCCAATTAAAAACACCCTAAATGTATGAAGATTTTCTAATTTAGATTAGGAATCTATGTCAAAAGTGAAGGAAAATCTAAATTGTAGTTGTAAAAATAAAGAAACAACTAAACATGTTTACTTTTTTTGCTGGGCTAAACGTATTCATATATGTATGATATGAATTTCCATTTCCATCCTCATAAAGGTAAGATACTTGATCAGAAGTTTTAAATGTTTTCATATATGAATGTCTAATAGTATATATCAATTTCATTTTTAAGATAAACAATCGTGTGGTTATAATTTTCAACATTATCTCAATCATTAAGAAAGAATGGTATGATGATGCAGAAAAATACGAAGTATTAACACAATTGCAAATATAAGTCTGATAACTTTAGTCATTATCACATTGAGTTTAGAAAACATTCAAAAAATTGAGTTTAGAAAAATAAAATATTACTCCGTACTTTTTAGGAAATGGAACACTATTATTACTTTATTTATAAAATAACTTTGAAGAACAAAATTGATAGGAACTTGGATGATTTATTTGTTAGGTGCGCAAAGCACGGATAATTCACTTCTCAATAGAATGTAATAAAAATAAAAGTATAAAAATAGTTAAATTAATTAAAGTCTATGTGCACGGATGACTATTTATTGTTGTGGTTGCAATAATTGCTTATTTTAATAACAATCCATATTACTACGGAGTAAGTAGTAGATTCTGAAAAAGTTACCAAATAAGGTGGATTTTATCATACACGACAGTCTTTTGTTTCCATATCAATATGTAATAAAAAATAGAATGTAATAAAAAAGGTATAAATAGTAATTAAATAATTGTTATATATGATGACATGGCAGGATTATGTGGCACGTCAGATGCTCTTAAAATTCCTCTTTTATATATATTTTAATAAATATCCATATTAATACGGAGTAAGTAGTAGATTCTGAAAAAGTTACCAAATAAAGTGGATTCTATCATACGATCTTTTGTTTCCATATCAATAAACAATAAAAATAGAATGTAATAAAAACAATAAAATGTATAAATAATTTTAATATATGATGACATGGCAAGATTATGTGGCGCGCCGTATGCTGTTAAAAAGTTCCTCTTTTATATATATATATTGATTATTACTAGACAAAGTACCGCATATTATGTTTTAAATTATCTAGAATTTGATAATAAGTTGTTTTAAATTATGTTTTACTATGGCATGTTATGCGTTACTTTTGACAAAACAAATAGAATTTATATATTGTAAGTTTTAGTATATACATAGTCCTAGTTGTAGGAAAATTCAAATCGTATGAAAGAATGGATAGAAAATTAAAATAAATGATAATGTATAAACATAAGTTGACAAATCGATGAGCAACAGTCATATATGTTGACAATGAAAAAAACAATTTCACAAATTTCGAAAAACTTCTTTATATACGACATTATTTGTGGTGTTAATAGCGCGGCCCTCATCATCACATATAAGAATCTTCAACCCATTCTTGAGGTAACCCTTGACATCACCACATACAATTGACTGTGCGTGAAGACAGATTTTGGAAGATATATGCCCACTTGATCCAGAGATTGTCCTTGACTTTTGTTTATCGTCATGGCAACCCTAATCAAGCCCAAATTAATTAAATCCTAATTAGGCCCATACTACTCTACTAATAAAAGGCCCAAACCAAAACATAAAATTAACTTAAAATAATAATAAATAATAAATAAACAGCCCGTAACCAGCCCACGGAAGTGGGCCCAATCCCGGTCCCGCCACATGCTCTTCCCGCTTCATATCAATCCATCCCCCTTAAAATAACCTTGTCCTCAAGGTTGAAAACTCGCGGATTGGGAGCTGAAATTTCCAGACATAGTATAGACTGGAAAATATCCTTCTTCTCTTTCCTGAACCCTTTCCTGACCGGTTATTACACAGAATTCATGCTGCTTGAGGTCCAACTCTTCATCCTCCTCAGCTAATATTACCCGCAGCTGCTTAAAGGGGCAGTCATGAGTTGGTGTAAACGGTTTCTTACACCTAAAGCATAATCCTTTTGCCCTCAGTTCTGCATATTCTTTTGGCGGCAGTCGAGTGAATTGAGAGCGTGTCGTAGGCTGCCCGGACATACTTGATTTCGTCCCCGGAGGCTGTCCACTATCTTTTGCAAAGCTGCCCCCTGAGCCTTGTGGGCTGCCACTAGTGGCAGTCAACGAGGGACCCATGTTTGTCCTTACAAAACTGCTGGAACGTACCCCTGAAGAATGATAATTCAGGCTGCCACTTTCTCCACTTTGGACGGATAGATTATACTCCTGATGAAAACGGTTAGCAACACAAGAGGGGGGGTGAATTGTGTGTGTGTGGAACCGTGGCAGTTTTTCGCCGAGTTCTAGTGTGGGATAAAGGGAATTGCAAAATAGTAAAGTGCACAAGAATTTAACGAGGAAAAATCCCTTGGCTCAAAGGGATTAAAAAAACCTCGACCTCCCTCGGAGGAATTTTAAACAACTTCACTAAACAAGCCTTTGAAAGAGTTACAAGAGTGATTCTCCTAATCTACCCTTGAGCCTCCCCAACTCTATCCTCTCTAGGAAGAGTTATGCATCTCTACCTTGCGGGTAGAGAGCCTCTCAGCTTTGTCGCAAAGCTCTCACACACACTTAACCCGAGGCAGCTACTCTAGCCAATTAAGCCTCAATAATCCAAGTACAATATGAAAGGGAAAAGAGAAACTCTATCTAGAACTCCGAGCGGGCAGTTTCAGGCGCCAAGGACTTGATCCTTTTCTTGAATGATTCTTCTAAGTATTTTTCTCGGTTCAGCTCACATTCTTCTTCTTCTCGATCTCGATTATATAGACTGCTAGGAATGGATCCGTTGAGACTCTTCTTTCTTTTGATGTTTGAGGAACTTGCCTTGATATTATTTGAAATACTTTCCTTTTATTTAAGGATCTTCTAGCTCTTCATTATGATGATCCTTGGTCAACCATAAATATGTGGGAGCAGGAGGATACGTTCATATCATGAGCAAGTAAGAAGAAAGGAATAGAATATATTATGTGATCAATCATTTAATAGCAATTAACATGGAAATGATTTATTCTCTTATATGAGCATGCAACGAATCTTATGTGGATTATATTTCAAACAAGGATCCCTATTCAAATTGGTATAAATTATTCTCAAATAAAATATTTAACCAATATAGGCATGCAACGGCCAAGTGCCAAAAATATATTCAATTATGAGACATGCAATCATGTATAGCAAGCCAAGATACTTTCCAAACAAATATTCATTTAATATTTTAACTAGGGATGACTTTTCAAAATCGTATGTCAAAGAAATATTTACTTAACAAATTTAAGCATGTTACGTTCAACTTCTATAAAGGTAGTAAAGATGCTTTCCATTAAATATTAAATTATTTAGGTTAACTCACTTAAGTGGGAGACCAATCATTTATGAAAATATATTTAAATTATGCCACTTTCATGATTACTTTCCATAAAGCATATGTAACACTACATTCCACAAAATTTCAATCAATTATGGAAAGATATTAATGCATATAAAATATCATACGTTGAAAGACATGCACACGCAGACTAATTATGGGACCGAGAGTTTCGTGGAACTGTTCTGTCCAGAGTTCATATTAGAACTCTCCGTAGTCGGTTCTGTCCCCTGTTCCACCTGCATGGTTAGTCATCAACAAAACCACATACTCAACAAATTCCCCCTTTTTGTTGATGACAAACATTAGGTGCCATACTAAAGATATCCCTGCAGATTAGTATCAAGTATAAATAGTAGAGAAATCAACACATAAAGGGGCACCCGCTTTTTCCCCCTTTTGTCATTCAACAAAAGAAACCAAAATATTTCCCAAATCAAGACATTTAATTGTTCCCCCTTAGATGATGCCGGAAGGTCCTGCATGCCCTCTCCGCGACCAGAAAAAGAGATTAGTAATTGAGATTAGGAAATAAGAAGTAGAACGAATAAGTTAGGAAATAATTAGACCGAGTTCCAGTCTAATTATTTCAA